CCAGACAAACTTTAGTGCTAGGGGACCCGTAGTCTAGCATCGGTCTGTTTTACAGCATCGAGCCGTCGGATCAAGCCGACATTGATGCTCACTTGAAGCGGCAGTTCAAGTCATGAATAACAACTATGTTCTTTGTCTCTTCAGATATAATCTTTTGTTTATGATTTGTTTCCTTCACACATCAGCTCTGGCATTTGGGGATCAATTTGCATGTTTCTTGCTGTCACAAGCAGGATTGTGAGTTTGTGAAATTTTAAACTATAGATGGAAAATGACTTGATAAAAAAAAAAGATGCAAAGCATGAAATATGCATGTTCACAAAGAAAACAAACCTGTTATTTACAAGTTATGCTTCTGAGTAATGGAGATCAGTTCATGTAAACATGATAGTCAGTCTGACAGCCTTGGGTAATATTTGTTTCAACATGGAGCACAGTTCGGCGTAAAGACATGGAGGAAGTCAAGGCAAGGATGTTACAAACATTACCAAGTCAAAGCAGTGAATTCTGCACCTCTTCAGGTGTGCACAACCAATGGAAGACATACCCAAAACATTTTATTTCAGTGAAAATGTAGAAGAAAGTAAAGTAAAATTAATGTGACAAAATGAAGACAACGCAATCTGCAGGCTTCCTTTCTTTTTTAGATAGATAACTTTACTAACTGGCATTTATAATGTACAGTAGTCCCTCGTTTATCACGGGGGATCCGTACCCTGAAGCCCCACGATAAGTGAAAAACCGTGAAGTAGGGATACAGTAGTCCAAGTTCAAGTTCAGTAAACTTTAAATTAAGGCTTTATAAACCCTTCCCAGACTTGGCATGATCTAAACTCTTAAACCTACATCATTTTAACAACATACGTTACAAAATTTTACTTACTAGCTCTGCAGAACAGCAACAGCTCTGGTTCCGGTCCAACTCTGTTCTATTCCAACTTGGTTTGTTTCTGCAGACCTATCCTGCAGCAATGAAGCCCATAGTCAGTCCTCTAAACTCTTAAACCAATTAATTTTAACAACATACAGTGCTTATATGTAAATTAGCTACAAAATTTTACTTACAAGGGCTGTGCAGAACAGGAGCGGCTTGGTTCCATCCGACCCGATAGATGAAGAAAAGTCCCGGTGCTGCATGAATGAAGCCCACCGCTGCTGCTCCCGGGGCAAGGCTGCCCAGGATTTAATCCACCACCTCTGGCCCGGAACGGACCAGCACCGCACAGCACGACCTGAACCAGGCTGAACTCTGCAGCCGTCTGTTTCCTGCAGCCCCCAGGATCCGGGTCACACTGAGTCCAGATCAACTGCAGCCCAGCTGCTCAGCAGTGAAGATACAACTTGAAGGATGAGTTCAGCTTCAGAATTATTTGCAAATTTCCTGACAGTCCTGTGATCTTATCCTTACAGAACATCTGACTTTGGTTGCAAAACTTTCCCTCCGTTTACAGCAAGCAGCGGTTGGAAGCAGTGTTGCCTTCTGGGAAGTGAACTGATGACTTCTGGGTAACGTAGTTCTTTAGACTGGCAAAACAGTGAAGGCTTAATGAAAGAAAACTACAAAATGGCAGCACTTTTTTTTTTTTTGTGTGGTGGTGGGGGCGTAGAGCCAATATTATGTACATGTACAGTAAACAAACTGCAATAGAGCTAGTCCGCGAAAGTCGAACCGTGTAGTAGCCAGGGACTACTGTATGTAAATGTTTTTGTTCAGTGCCCTGAGATAACTTCTGTTGTGACTTGGTGCTATATAAATAAACTGAATTGAATTAAAGCAAAATGCTGTACATGGACATCAATTTAAATCAAACTCAAGATAAAAATTTATGAACCAACACAGAACAGTCTTTTTTAATCGCTTAAGGCTAAATATACTGTTCCCAGTTGTCTATGGTTTCTTGGTGTAACTAAGATGAATGAGATCATTGCACTTTTTACCAGCATCAGTATGTGATGAGTTGCATGATTTTGGTTTCCTGGACCTTTTGTTTGATAGATTATTAATTTAATTTTTTTTCTTTGCTGTTATTTGTTTCCTTTGAGGGGAGTGATGGCATAAAGGCTAGAGAAGGTGGGTCTGTGACTGGAAGGTCACCGGTTCAACTCCCCGTACTAACAACATCAAAATGTGGGTGGGGAAGGTGAAACGTACGCACCTGCCTCCACCCTCATTTGCCCTACTCTGGACCCTTGAGTAAGGCCCTTAACCCCCCACAATCTGCTCCCCTGGGTACCCTAGATGGCAGCTCTCTGCTCCACACAGAGGGTTGTGGTAGCTCGGTGGTTGTGTAAGGAAGGGCACCCAGCGTAAAAAACAATTGCCAAAACTTTGTGCAAGTTAGTTTGCTGGGTAACCCCTGAAGAAAGGAGCAGCCAAAAGAAGAAAAAAAAAGTGTTTTCTTGGACATTTCTTGTTAGTGTTTGTTTCCATTGATGGTTATTTTTTATATTTTCTTTATGTTGAGCTTGTTTCATTGACTCTCCACCTGTCTCCAATCTCCTCATCAGGACCAATCTATTTAGTTTCCCAGTTTTCACCTCCTAGTCTGGCACTGTGCTTCCATGGCCTGCCTGGTTTCCTCTTCTCAAGGTTTTTTTTTATCTTTATTTTTATTTGCTGAGATGCCAGCCTTTCAGTGAATCAGTGTTCACTGAGATTGTGGAACGATGTGCCAGAGGGTCTGAGAGGAGTGCATGATCTTGATACTTTGAAACTTAGGCCAGGTTTGGTCTGGCTTTTATTTCTGGCTTTTTTTGTGCTGTAAAGCACTTTAAATTGCATTTAATTTGTATGGAACGTGCTATAGAAATAAAGCTTGATTGATTTTAAATTTATTTCTGTCATTTGTTATTTTTAAACCTCTTAGTTTTAGAAAGCCTTGTGTTGGTCTACAATTCCTGGGTCCGATCTCTAGAAATCATGACAAGAATTTGGGATGAGGTTGTGACATCCTCATATATATACAT